AAATCAATAAAATTTATGCTTCCAATCAAAAAAAACTAGTGAGACTTTTGTTTAAGTATAAATACTCAAGTTACAACCACTCTAACAGCTTAAATTTTTGGAGTAGAAGGTTGTTTAACAATTTCAATGCCTGTTCTATTCCTTTCGATTAAAGGTATTGTGTTCGTCAATTGCATACCAAAAGTTATACGGTTACTGCGGGGTGCCTTTGTTGAACAGTTTCAAAGTAATTGGAAGGTTGTTGCTTTTTAGTGTACTTTTTCGTTTCTTATTCTGTTTATTGTATTTTGTTTTTCCTTTACCTAAAAGATATCTTGTCTTGTCCACAATATTATTCTCTTCTCTCACTTTTCTGCATTAATAATATGCTTCATCTATCCACACAAAAAAAAGCATGCATCAACTAAAAACAGGCCCTTGAGCCTCATAAGCCAAGCTTAGGCACTTCAGTAATCAAATCACCCTAGCTCCCCATGACATCCATTCAATCAAATATCAAGATTTACCATGAGAGTGCAGCCAAGGTGGGAAGAAAAAAAAGGAAAAGAAAAAAATTTTGACCAAGTCAAAGATAACGGTTAAAAGAACATGTAACGAAAAGATGGTACCAGTTATGGATTTTAGTAAGTTTAACCATTCCTTCCCTAAACAACCTTAATATAGGTATCGCCACAATCAAAAACAAGAAACAGAAATAAATCAATGTGCAGGAAGAAAAGTGAACAAACTGCACAAACAAAAAAAAATTGCAAGTGGAAAAAACAAGGGAGGAAATTTTTCCTCCTCTTTGATGTAATATGCAAAACAATCGGCTATCACTCAATGTCAATCCTCTTTATTTGATGATTGTTAATAAAGGGTGTTGTGGAGGATAACCTAGATGGAAACCTAATTTGCTTGATTCAAACAGTGGTTACCCTTAGACAAGCAAGTTGGGTCAAACAAAAAAGACGAGAAACTATGTTTTGTTAGTAGCTCTAGCTTTTACCATTGAACCCAATGACACTTTTACCAGCATTAGCCTTTTCTGGGATAATTAACATTAATGGGAGTAATTAGGAGTAACAATTCCTGTATCATTCCAACTAAAGAGAAGATAGAGAAAAAGGGGGTGGGGGAGAGAGAGGGAGCCAAGGCACCACAGCGGTCCCCAGTTTCCACTTTCAACACATAATCAAAGCAGAATGTGCAAAATCATTTCAACATCCGCAATTTACCAAACTAGATATCTACAGGGGGGCGTGCACATTCATGGTTATGCATTTACTACATGCCAGCTAGAAGTGCAAATAGCAAAAAAAAGCTGATCACTTCAGCTCAAAGCTCCACTGAAAGCTAACAGATATATATTAGTAATAACGTCATTCTTTTTATGCATACTACAGAATCAAAAAAACTAGCTCATACAGACCTTGAGATTGCTAACAATGGATTGGGCATCAGCAACAGGTGGCTGAAGGGAATATTCTGCAAGAAGAGGCATTAAAGAGGATACAAATGTTGATCTTTCTTGGTGTGCAGCCTGAAAGAACCATAATTGCCAATCTCAATATATTTTTTCAAAAACGATTTGAACCCGATTAAAGAATCGGCCAAGTATCTTTGACATGTTTATTTCAACATCATACATGTCATAAATTAGGTAGTTAGAATAATTACCACAAAACTATAGGGATTTGTATTATAATGCACCAATAATATACAAGCATTCGTATTTTTTAGATTCAACGGATGGATGTGAGCACGCACTAGAGAGATTCTAAGTAAAATAAGTGGAATTACTGGCTTAATTGAGAATAAACGTTATCATAAAACATGATTAAGGGGCACGATTGGCAACGTGAACATGATACCCAAGTGTATGATATTGCACGAGCCTGGGAAGTTAGAAAAAGAAACCTAAAATATGAGCTAGTGCATATGATAAACTTGTGAAGATCAATTTACGTTATCAAACGATTATTTCATCAGAACTAATTCACGTTTGGTTCCATGTCTAGTTGCAATTCAGACATAACAATGACAATGTTTCAGAAAATTTTAATCAGAGCTTGTCTCCATAAGAGTCCCCAAAAACAGGTCAACATACATAAGCTGAGATGAATGATACCTGTAATTGATATGTAAGACGTATATTTTCCTCAATTATGTCTTGTCTGTAAGATAGGGCTTTAGATGCAGCATCAACGAGATCTTGTTGCTGCTGATCAAAGGCCTATAACAAGCATTCAGTTCATACAAACTCCATCAGTTTTAAGGAAGAAATAAAGAAGATGGACTGAAAAAATAGTGGAAGGGGAATTCTGCCCACCAAACGCATATAAGCAATACGCTTCTCCAAAATATATTTCTCATTGCGTACTTGTGCCTCCTATCAACAACGATGATATGTTAGTTACATGGAAGTATGAACGAAGCAATTATGCAATACTTGAAAACCATACACTGTCCTACCTTGATCGAATACTCAGCAATATGTTTCCGCAAATGTGATATCTCGTCCTCGTGTTCCTGTATCTGAACAACAAGGCCACACCCAAAACTCATTGATGAAAAGACAGAACAAAAAAATGGATCATATGCGAATGTACCATTAGTCCATTAAATTGAACTTCTAAAAAATGGCACCATTTAATTGTAAAATGATACCTGTTTCAAAAGGCTGCTAGGATTATTTACTTCAGCCACTGACATCCCACCATGTCCTGATATATTAAACTGTGGATCATATTCTCCTTCCATTTGATACCTAACAGAAAATGTAAATTGTCATTTGTGCTTGCATGTGCCAATCATTAAGATTGTTTAAATAAACTCTAATTTTCAGTCCAAATTATCTGTGTGGCATTCACTTGTATCTTGATGTCAAATACCTGCTAGGAGAAAAGGATGTTGTAGATGGTGGAGAAAACTGAGAGAAGCCCACGTTATCTAATGCTGCCTGACCACCAGGAACCACTTTCAGCGTTCCATTGATCTTGCTGCTCTCAGACCGCCTTTCTGCACGAGTTTGCATAGTAGGGTCCTCAGCATTTTGCATTTCCTTTTGGAGAACTATTGTATTAGATGGATCATGAGCAGAAGTGTTGTCTGTTCTTCTAATCACATCTGTTTCATTCACCAAAGCAGAAACAGATTGCTCCGCCAATTGAGATCCACGAACACAATCATCCAAGTGATCAACCAAATGAGGACTTCGACCCTTTGCCTCATGTGATTTCTGCCAGGAAGAGTGGATACTAAATTTTGTATAACAAAGGAAGATTGTGTATTCAAATTTACACTAAGTTTCCTAAAAGATGCATGGTGCAGGGAGGCAAGAACCTTGATTGTGTACCATCTTTCACTAAATTAATAATATGTAAAATTGCAAAGCTCGTCAAGTACTAATTTTAGACAACTTAATGTCAATTTTTCTTTTCTTTTTTTTTATTGGAAACGGTAAAATTTATTAATAACAAATATAAGAATACATGTTAGGACAAGGAGTCCTCAAAGGAGAAAGAAAATGAAAATAAAGAAAAGGAAAAAAACTATTGGGCTAACTTAGAATATAAATATATCATTGCATCATCAACAATTGGCACACACTTGAGTCCAATAATCCATAATCAACAAGAATGGAATGCATTCAAAGTCTTTAGACGTGATAACCCAAACAGAAGCTATGAGAGTGACTTTATCACATAACTTTGACCAAGAATCTTTATCTCCATAAAGGCATAAATTTTTGAGATATCTTTTCAACCACACCACCCAAAACAATGCTACAACCAAATAATTCTATAAAATCTGAGATTTGTTACTTGAACCAAAGCCATCAAATGAATCTCAACAATTCACACACAAGTTTTAGGACATAACCAAGGGAAACCAACCATACCCGAAAGCATGTTCCACAACTTACTGACAGAACAATGAAAAAATAGGTGATCCATACATTCTTCCTCAAACTTGCATAGAATGTATCATTGCTGCTTAAGAGAAGAGGATGGTCGTTTCTAGAGAAAATCACTGGTCTTGAGTTTCTTATGACAAAGGAGCAATCATACCCAAAAGCATATTCCACAACTTATTGGCAAAAAGGTGATCCATACATTCTTCTCCACACTTGCATAGAATGCACCATTGCGGCTTAAGAGAAGAGGACGGCCTTCTTTTCTGAACCAAATTATTGGTGTTGAGTTTCTTATGCGCAAGCAACCAAACAAAAACTTGAAGCTTTAAGGGAGCCTTGGAATTACATATAAAAGATGGTTGGAAGATTGGTAAGAGTTTAAGCATCAAACCCAAAATCAATTGGCAAAGAGTGAAAAAGCCCTTTCATTACATAAACCAACCTTAGGTGGGTCCTAATCATTCAATATGATATACAAGCTCTCTTTACACCCTCCCTCATGAGGGACCTGGGCTCCCACGTAGGGAAACCAAACAAGGGAAAGTCAAATGAGTAAGAAACTTGGTCCACTGACCACTCAAGACCCAACTCTTATACAATGTTAAAACATCCAACCTAAAATTAATTGGCAAAGAGTGGAGAGGCCCTTCAACTATATAAACCAACTTTAGGTGGTCCTAATCATTCGATTTGGGATACAATCTCTCTTTACAATAAGCAAGTTGTATAAATAAGGACTCAAAAGGAGAATTACAAGACAACTCCCCCGTGGAAGAAATTACGCACCTTTTTTCTTATCCAAAGAAAAAGGATCCAATACTACATTATCTAAAATACCCAAAAGCAAAGGCATTTCACAAATTTCTCCATCATTCAAGTTCCTAAAGAAATTAAAATCCAACTCTTTGTAGAAGGAAAGGATGAGGNATTTACTTCAGCCACTGACATCCCACCATGTCCTGATATATTAAACTGTGGATCATATTCTCCTTCCATTTGATACCTAACAGAAAATGTAAATTGTCATTTGTGCTTGCATGTGCCAATCATTAAGATTGTTTAAATAAACTCTAATTTTCAGTCCAAATTATCTGTGTGGCATTCACTTGTATCTTGATGTCAAATACCTGCTAGGAGAAAAGGATGTTGTAGATGGTGGAGAAAACTGAGAGAAGCCCACGTTATCTAATGCTGCCTGACCACCAGGAACCACTTTCAGCGTTCCATTGATCTTGCTGCTCTCAGACCGCCTTTCTGCACGAGTTTGCATAGTAGGGTCCTCAGCATTTTGCATTTCCTTTTGGAGAACTATTGTATTAGATGGATCATGAGCAGAAGTGTTGTCTGTTCTTCTAATCACATCTGTTTCATTCACCAAAGCAGAAACAGATTGCTCCGCCAATTGAGATCCACGAACACAATCATCCAAGTGATCAACCAAATGAGGACTTCGACCCTTTGCCTCATGTGATTTCTGCCAGGAAGAGTGGATACTAAATTTTGTATAACAAAGGAAGATTGTGTATTCAAATTTACACTAAGTTTCCTAAAAGATGCATGGTGCAGGGAGGCAAGAACCTTGATTGTGTACCATCTTTCACTAAATTAATAATATGTAAAATTGCAAAGCTCGTCAAGTACTAATTTTAGACAACTTAATGTCAATTTTTCTTTTCTTTTTTTTTATTGGAAACGGTAAAATTTATTAATAACAAATATAAGAATACATGTTAGGACAAGGAGTCCTCAAAGGAGAAAGAAAATGAAAATAAAGAAAAGGAAAAAAACTATTGGGCTAACTTAGAATATAAATATATCATTGCATCATCAACAATTGGCACACACTTGAGTCCAATAATCCATAATCAACAAGAATGGAATGCATTCAAAGTCTTTAGACGTGATAACCCAAACAGAAGCTATGAGAGTGACTTTATCACATAACTTTGACCAAGAATCTTTATCTCCATAAAGGCATAAATTTTTGAGATATCTTTTCAACCACACCACCCAAAACAATGCTACAACCAAATAATTCTATAAAATCTGAGATTTGTTACTTGAACCAAAGCCATCAAATGAATCTCAACAATTCACACACAAGTTTTAGGACATAACCAAGGGAAACCAACCATACCCGAAAGCATGTTCCACAACTTACTGACAGAACAATGAAAAAATAGGTGATCCATACATTCTTCCTCAAACTTGCATAGAATGTATCATTGCTGCTTAAGAGAAGAGGATGGTCGTTTCTAGAGAAAATCACTGGTCTTGAGTTTCTTATGACAAAGGAGCAATCATACCCAAAAGCATATTCCACAACTTATTGGCAAAAAGGTGATCCATACATTCTTCTCCACACTTGCATAGAATGCACCATTGCGGCTTAAGAGAAGAGGACGGCCTTCTTTTCTGAACCAAATTATTGGTGTTGAGTTTCTTATGCGCAAGCAACCAAACAAAAACTTGAAGCTTTAAGGGAGCCTTGGAATTACATATAAAAGATGGTTGGAAGATTGGTAAGAGTTTAAGCATCAAACCCAAAATCAATTGGCAAAGAGTGAAAAAGCCCTTTCATTACATAAACCAACCTTAGGTGGGTCCTAATCATTCAATATGATATACAAGCTCTCTTTACACCCTCCCTCATGAGGGACCTGGGCTCCCACGTAGGGAAACCAAACAAGGGAAAGTCAAATGAGTAAGAAACTTGGTCCACTGACCACTCAAGACCCAACTCTTATACAATGTTAAAACATCCAACCTAAAATTAATTGGCAAAGAGTGGAGAGGCCCTTCAACTATATAAACCAACTTTAGGTGGTCCTAATCATTCGATTTGGGATACAATCTCTCTTTACAATAAGCAAGTTGTATAAATAAGGACTCAAAAGGAGAATTACAAGACAACTCCCCCGTGGAAGAAATTACGCACCTTTTTTCTTATCCAAAGAAAAAGGATCCAATACTACATTATCTAAAATACCCAAAAGCAAAGGCATTTCACAAATTTCTCCATCATTCAAGTTCCTAAAGAAATTAAAATCCAACTCTTTGTAGAAGGAAAGGATGAGGCCATACTTTAAATATGAGTTAGGAGTTCAAGACAATCAATATAAATGCGGGAACATAGTACCAAAGGATGAGAACCCCCACCCCCCAAAAAAAAAAAAAAAATCCTCCCAAGAGTGAATTATCCCCCCATTACCAACGGAACACTTGATAAAGTTAGCAAAATTAGATAACCCTAAACTGTTAAGTTTAGAGAGTTAACACAATATTAAAGAAAGACAAAGAGTGGTCAAAACTTAACCTACCTCTCACAAACTATTTGTATTTATAGTTAATTGTCGATGAGGAAACAAGAGATAGGATAGACACCATTAAGAATACAGAAAGGCATACAATTGATTGAGACGTATATCGTTTTGACAGTGGCGCCTTGAAAGGATTTTGGTAAGCATCAAAGTTCTAGCAACTTCAACAAGGTTCCTATAACCCATATTGGGCTAACTCGGTCTATATATTAGCTCACAAAGGCCACACTTACATAATACCCCAAACTCTTAACCTCAACAAATATCTTGGACTAGATTAAAAATTTGAAGTTGTATTAGATCCTTAATTTATAGATCAAACTTGGATGATAAAAGAACTACAACAAAAAGTTTGCAATAAGACCACCCACTCAACCCAAATCTCCTTCCTTCCATTTTTCAATTACAAGAGGAATAAAGGAGAAGAGAGAGTTAAACATTTTTTAGTTTGTTTCACACTCGAACTCAAGAAAGTTTTGTTTTAAACCCTTTAAGTTGATCACACCAAAAACACATTGCCAACAATCCATGTACAGGCCATAGATCATCATGTCATTCTCGATGCACAGATTGATGTCTTTATAGGCTACCCCACTGTATGTGTTATTCCATTCAACTACAGTAAAACACTTTTTCTATAGGTGCTTTATCCATCATATATTTTGCACAGTTACTGAATTCTTCTCTATCTTTTCCAAAGTGAATAACAACCTTCAACTGTCAAAGGTATTACTTTCCATAACTTTCAAATCTAGTGGTTTCTCTACACATTCTACATCAGATCCAGCATAATCCACATCTAATCAGGAAAACAAACCAGAGCTACTAGGTCCATATCAGAAACCCAAACAACAGAAAAGTTATATTGCTGCTTATCCTACCAATAAAAAATATTCTTGCAAGCATTATAGCCAACTTTATGATTGAGATATTCAGCACGAGAAACTGATTAAAATATTCCTCGTTTGTCAACAATATAATGTCATAAGAAATTAGTAAACCAACAGGCACATACACATCACAATAGGCATAAAAGGTACCAAAAGATGCATGTCTATGACTACTATGAATTCTCAAATGAAAAAGGTATGTAAATAATGTGTCTATAGGAAAGAGCAGGAAGAACGTGATAAAAACTTGTTATGGTAACCATGAAATAACCAGAATTAGGAGTCTAGATTCCTACTAAAATGGAACCCAAATAAAACAAAAATTATAGTCATTGCAAGCACCCACGTATTTTTCAAGTTCCAAAATTGTTCTCTCGAGCTCGGACCTCAATCGATTGTTCTCTTCCACCTGTGAATGGAGAAACAAGATAGAAAGAATCAGCAACTTAGGTGTCATTTGATTAAACTAAAAATTAAGAACCGAATACTGAATTTTAAGTGCTAACTACTAAATTTTTTAATATGAAACTATTTGGTACGTACTAAAAGTTAAGCATTAAATTAATTTGAACAGTTTGCTCAGTCCAAGGAACGGAAGTTTGAATACTATTACTTTTCTAATTTTGCCTTTTCCTCCACCCTTCCACTACCACTATCCCATGACTACTACCATCTCACAACCGCCACCATCAACACGACCACAAACCACCACCGCCACCACCTTTTGCATCCCCCCATGGTGAGGCATATAGGTGGTCACATTGGGTAATGGTGGCGGTGGAGGCAATAAAGTGGCACGACAGTGATGTGGTGGTAGTGGGACATGATGGTTGTAGGTGAAGAGGTGATGTAGGTGGAGTGGTGATGATGGTGGACTGGGGTGGCAACGATGGGGTGGTGGGGGCAAGTGGTGGTGACAAAAGGTGGAGGAGGTAGTGGTGGTGGTGGGGGTGGTGATGATGGAGGTAATGGTGTGACGATGGCGGCAAGGTGGGTGGTGGCGGTGGTAAGGATGGGTTAAGGTGGGTGTTGTGATGGTGTGGTAGGTTGGTACCGACAATGGTGGTTGGGTGGCGGTGGTAGCAGTGGGGTGATGGTGGTGATAATGGGATGGTAAGGGTGGTGGGAGTTGGGAATAGCAATGTTGGTGGTGGGAGTTGGGAATAGCAATGTTGGTGGTGGTGGAGGCGGTGGTGGCGATTGGGGTTGGCGGCGGTGGTGTTGGTGGTGGCAATGGTTGTGAAGAAGAGGTGGTGATAGTGGTGGTGGCAAGGTGGCAAAAGCGATGGTCATGGCCGCGACGATTGTGGAAAGATGGGTATAAGATGGATTGAAATCAAAATTTTGGAGGGCAAATTTGTCCATCATGAAAAATTTATAAAAAGTCTTATTCATTAACAATTCAACATTAAGTGATAAATAGGTAAGTTAGCTACTTAAATTTTTAGCATATTTTGAAGAAGTGCTTAAATTTTTAAGTGAGAAGTTTTTATTCAAACACGCTTAATTAAAAAAGTGTGTAAAGTCTTTAGTTTTAAGTGTTGAATTGGGTTATCAAACACCACCTTAACAACATATCATAAACCATTATAAATACTATAAGTACGAGTGATCGGCTTAGAATGATCTGATTACTATCGCAGCATATTTTTTTAGTGATCAGAAGGAAATACTATCTCTATCATATGTTTAAATATAATAGAGTCAATTTTGTTTTGTATCTTATTTGATGAGTTGATAGATGTATTGGGACAATTAATTTTGATTTGTTTTTTATCGAGAAATTAATATAAAACTATTAAATCTATCATAACTTGAAGCAGTTACCAAACGTATTTTCTGTTTTAATTTTTTTTAACTTTTTACCTCAGAAAAGAATAAATAAAAATTGTTTCGGTGTTTCTTTTTTTTTTTGAAAACAGAAAGCTGATGTTGTTACTTGCTACCAAATGCACCCTAAGTAATTCAACTCATTTATCTAATATATACCTCCATCAACGCATGAAGACACTACAACATAAGGCAAAATAGAGAATAAAGTGAATAAAAATTCATTCAAATAAGATATAGAAAATATTTAATAAACATGATGATAAATAAATAATACCAATATCTATATACAATAATGAAGAAACAACTATTACTTACATAGATCATTCTCATAAAGCTCATCTTTTTTGTAACAAATGATCCGTGATAAACGTAGGGTTTTAACATGAGAGAGACAGAAACGGCAAGAGAGATAGAGCGAGAGGGGAGAGGAAAATGGTGCATAGACAAAAATCTACCCTACTCCTTCATAAACTTGCATATATACAATGCAGGGTATAACAATAAGCCATCTACCACCTACAATAATACTAATATTACTCACCAACATTCCC